TATATATATATATATATATATATATATATATATATATATATATATATAGAGAGAGAGAGAGAGAGAGAGAGAGAGAGAGAGAGAGAGAGAGAGTCTCCCTGGTTTGTACATGAATGACTCATATTATAATTCCACTCTGCACTTTGTTCTGAGATAAATAATGTATCTCAGAAATTGTTCCACCTTTGTTTGTGTAGATTTTATTATTATTTTTAGTGGAGATACCTCAAAATAGGAAAGGAATTCTTAAACAAGACTTAAAAGTACTAAACGATAAAGGAAAAGACTGATATATCTAACTATATTAAAATAAGAATTTCTATTCACTGAAAAAGAGTGAAAAGACAAACTAGCACCTGAAGAAGAGTTTTGCCACATATAAATATGAATGAAATATGCCCAGAATTTAAAGGACTCCTACAAATTAATAAGAAAAAGACAAGTAATTCAATAGAAAAATGGGCAAAAAACATGAAAAGATGTTTCACAGAATAATATTCATAAACAAGTGAGAAGATGCTGAACCTCATTAATAATCAGTGAAATGAAAATTACTACAGGAAAATGTTATTTGAAGCCCACCAAATCGGCAAAAATTTTAACAGTCTGATAATAGCAAGTAATGGCAAGATCAGAGAGCTATAGGAGTGACCACCTCTGCTGGTGAGAAAGTAAAATGGAAGCAACCACTTGGGAAAACAGTGATGTCCCCTATGACAAGTCCCTAATTTCACTCCTGGGATGGGTGAACTTGTGCATGTAAGGATGTTCATTGCAGCGTTTGGGAGTGGGAGGATCACAAAAAAGTAATTAACCCAAATGTCGACCAACAGGAGAAGGTACAAATATATGGTGGCATATTCGTGCAGTGTAATACTCTACAGCAGAATATGAAGACTATGTCATAATGCTCAGTAAAAGATAAAAGTCACAGAAGAAACAAATAATATGAATCAATATATATTATCATAAAGTGCATAAAAAGCAAGCCTAAACAATTTGCTATCAATGATATTTAAACCACAAGTGTATATTATTTGCACTCTTCTGTATGCATGACTTATATTTGATGTACATTTTAAAACACATACACACACATGCACATAAAAGACCTCTTAGATCTCTTGGCATTGGGTGTTATTCTAAATTAGTGTTTCCAATGTCTACACTCATAATAAAAATGAAATAAAGATGATTTCAGTGGGCAGGTGAATGCAAGACAAGACTGAGTGACTTCTTACCTCTTGCGGTGTGACCCTGGAGCATTTGTGCTCCCCGTAGTGTTTATAGTTGACCGTGTAGGTGCTTTGGTATATGTCTAAGTCCACGGGGACCTAGAGGGCAAGGGCGAACAGAAAGCAAGAGACCCCATCTTGTGTACTTCCATTTAAAGGCATTTAGTGACCTGGCATTCGGGGTCCTTCATGATCTGGCTTCTACTGGCCTTTCCCACCTTACCTCTGGGCTCCTCTCCATGCCATCTGCACTCCAGCCTCACTTCTTTCTTCTCTTCACATGTACCTGGCACATGCTCTCATCTCCTGCTGGAAATGCTAGTTGCACTCCTCACTCACTGGCAAACTCCTACATATCCTCCAAGACCCAGATTAAATCTCCCCGCCAAAACATCTCTCCCACCCTTTTATTCTCCACCTCCCAGGAATTAAAACTCTCCTCTGCCTTCATAGCACTTTTTATATCCCTCACTACAGCACTTACCATGGTGTATTGTAATTGACTTAATGACGTACACTAGATTAGGACCTCATTTTAGGCATCTCTGCAGCCTCAAAGCCCAGCACAGTGCTTGGCACACTGAGGGTGCTTAATAGATGCATGCTGAATAAATAAATGAACCTCCAGAAAATAGTAAACCCTTGGCTTTCCTCTGCCTGTTTAAAAAAGAAAAGAAAACCATTCCAAAATAATGACCAGAGGGAGCCCCAAAGAGCCTAGGAGCCTGACCCTCCCCCTGGGGCTGTTCTCTGCCCAACCTTGAGATGGTCACAGAGGACGGAAACCCACAACACTCACCTGTCTGGGGTACACCACGCCTGCCATAGTAGACTACCTAGGTACAGACAAGTTGGTTAGGCCTGCTTCTGCCACAGACAGGGAAAGCAGCCACTGTCCACAACCCAGGGGTTGGTGGTGACAGCAGGGAGAAATGGGCTGGTGAACAGGGGCCCTGGGACAAAGAGGCTAGGACTTAGAAGGAATTTGAGCTGTTGAGAATGTCAGGTTTGCCTCTTAAGCAGAGGTGAGTCTCCTAGCAAGGCAAGTGGTGCTGGTAAATGTTGAACCATTATCTTCGGAGGACCAATAAGCCCCGGTTTATAGCATTTGCCAATTTCTGTGGCATCAACGCTCCCACCATAGCCCATTTTGAGCTATTAACATAATGTCGCTGATGCAGAGTTTTGAAGATGTGTGCAGAATAGGTTCTTACATTAATGAGCTGACTCCAGCACACAGGTCCCACGAACCAGGGCTCTGAACTAGTTCAAGGAAGCAAGGTTCAAGCCTAGGACTTAGCGGCACCCTGGTTCAGAAGCACAGCATGTTTTCTAGTGGAGACTGGGGGTATCCAGGGTGAAGACAGTTGTGAGGCTCTGCATTCCCAGGTAACATTAGCATGTGTGGGTCCTACCTTGCTCCCTTCCCCCAGCCCTGAAGTCCTGCAAAGAGGCCTCACTGCCCGGGGACAGGGGAACTCCCTGAGCTTCACCCTATCTTGTGGTCATGGGCTCTTAGGTTCTTGACCATTACTTCATTTCATTCCCATGGAATCCTGCCTTGAGCCCCACTCCATTCAGCGGGCTTTGGCCCAATGGGGTGGTTGCCAGATCTCACCTGGCCCCTGTGTCTGTGCCTTTTTGTGCATAGACAGCACCTCTCCTGGGGCTGGGGACCAGCTTTAATGCAAACAGCACCTACGCCTCCTTCTGCCAAGATGACGCTCCTGCCCTTCCAACTCCAGGTGCCCCTGTGGCGTGGAGAGGCCTGCCACTGTGTCCCACTGCCACACCTGTCTTTGAGATGAGCCCTGACCTACATGATACAGGCTGTTTGGTCACAGTCCCTGGTCATTGTGATTGGGTGTCCCAGCACACCTGAGCCAACATGAACCCTGGCAACATCGGAAGGTACCCGGGAGGCAGGGGCTTTCAATACTCTACAGAATCTGTCTATTTCCAGGACGTAGTCAAACAAAACCCCATGTGAACTGTGACATCAGACTGTGAGGGACTGAATCTACCTTATGCCATAAGCCCTCCAGGGAAAAGGTGGCTCACACTCTTCCATCTGTCAAAATTCCACCTCTTTCATACTCATTAAGGTGGCTGGAATCCAAAAATGAAAAATAACAAGTGTTGGCAAGGAGGTAGAGTAACTGGAACCCTTGAAATTGGAACCAGCATTGCTGGTAGGAATGTAAAATGATACAATGGCTATAGAAAACAGTTTGGTGGTTCCTCAAAAAGTTAAACGTAGATTTACCATATGATCCTGCAGTTCCACTTCTGAGTATACACCCCAAGGAACTGAAAGCAGGGGCTTGAATAGACACATATACACCCGTGTTTATAGCAGCATTATTCAAAAGAGTCAAAAGGTGAAAGCAACACAAGTGTTCATCAACAGGTGAATGGGTAAACAAAATGTGGTCTATATACACAGTGGAATATTATTCAGCCTTAAAAAGGAAGGAAATTCTAATACATGTCACAACATGGATAAATCGTGAAACACATTACGCTACGTGAAATAAGTCAGCCATAAAGGGCAAAAACTGTATGATTCCATTTATATGAGGTACTAGAGTCATCAAATTCATAGAGACAGAAAGTAGAGTAATGATTGCCAGGGACTGAGGCGAGGGAGGAACGGGGAGTGATTGTTTAATGGGTATAGAGTTTCAGTTTGGGAAAATGAAAAAGTCCAGAAAAGGGATAGTGGTAATGATTGCACAACATTGTAAATGTCCTCAATTCCACTAAACTGTACTCTTAAAAATAGTTAAAATAGTAAACTTTATGTTATATATATATATATGTACAATTTTTATAAAGACCATTCTATTTAAGGGCCACCTCCTCTATGAAGCTCTCCTTGGCTTCTCACTAGATGCCACCATAGACACCTTTCATTTATTCAATCGACATTTATGGAGCACGTATTTTGTGTCAGGCACTGTTCTGAATCTTGCAGATCAACAATGAACAAAATAGATGGAACTCCCTGCTTGCACAGAGCTCACATTCTGGTAAGAGCAAAACACACAGTAAACAAAGTAATAAGCAATTGAGCCTCCAGGAAATCAATGAGGTGGCATGTGAGAGAATGAAAGTCTCAGTCAGCACTTCAGATAGGGGGCTCGAGAAGGCTTCTCTGAGAAGGTGCCATTAGAGCAGAGATCAGAAATATAGAAAGAACCAGCCATGCAAAGATCTGGAGGAGGGGATATCCTTACATAAGGATCAGCAAGTTCAAAGCCTGTAAGACAGGACAACTTGGAGCAAGAAGGGGCAAGGAAAGCAGTGGGAGAGGACATGAGGGCAAGAGAGGGAGTCTGTTGTGAATCTGTGACTTTCCCCGTCTTTCCATAGTGGCATACCAACTTCCCTCTTAGAGAACTTTAGCGAGCTTATGTTTTTCCCTTTGGGAATCATGTGGTTTGGGTGGTGCTGACCCTACTCCAGTTCTAAACAGTATGGTGTCCCCAGAATATTTCATCCTCTAGGCCACAGTGATTGATTATTCCCAACCCCTAGGAAAGAGGGAGCTCCCTCTTTCTGAGATAGTGGGCGCTAAGAACCATGGGAGCCTGGAGCTGCCTGAGGCCACCTGTGCTCCATGTAGAAAGAGCCTGGACAAGAATAAAATCAACAGAGGAAAGAAGACCCAACAGATGGATTCTGCATCATGAGGACACTGAGCCCCTGGATACAACCATGCCTGAAGCTTGCTTGAACTATATCTAGATGTTGCAGTTTATGTGAGACCCAATATATCCCTTTTCTTGCTAACGCCAGTTTTTGTTGAGCTTATGTAACTTACAGCTGAAGCAGTCTCAACAAACTCAAGGTTATTTTTCACAACAAACTATGGGATCCTTATGGCAAAGAACTGGTCCTTACTCAGTTTATTGCCCAGTACACTGTCACTTAAGTTTAGGGATTAAGATGTGCTTGAGGGCGACCAAGTGGCGTGTTGGTTGGGGGTTGGCTTGGGACGCTGGCTCTCGCCAGTGGGGCCCCAGTTTGGATCCCACATTGGGGCCGGTGACATTGCGCCCTCTACAGCTAGGATGGTGGACAGCGGCTCGACCTAGAGCTGGTCTGCCGTGGGTTACCCGGGATGGCATGGGCTGCAGTGAGGCTGCAGTGGGCGGCCGTAGGCTACCATGGGTGGCCTGCAGCTGGTGTGAGCTGCCGGGAGCCGCCTGGGCGGCCGTTCAGTGGCCAGCGGCCGATCTGCCTCACCCAGGAAGAGCGCAATGATGGTGCCAACATGGGCCAGTGGGGCGACATCCTCCCCAGCTTGACTGAGGAGCAGGGGGACAGCAGTTTGTCTGTTCCCCTTCCCCGGTTCCCCAGAGCTGTTCCCCTCTCCCAATTCCCCAATAAAATCTTAAAAAAAAAAAAAATAAAAATAAAAAAATAGAAAAGAAGTGCTTGAGAATTTAATAAAGCTGAAATAAATGGCAAAGAACAGGCTTAACAACTGAATGGCTGTAGAGGGGATAGCTGGGACCAAACACGTGATTTTTATTCCTTAAGAATATATTTTTCAGGAAAATATTACCAAGTAGATTTTGGAGCTCTCACTCCAAATCCTGAGACTTAACTATCCTCCTGTCCTTGGGTAAATCATGTAAGTTCAGAAGAAGTCAGTTTGATCACCTGTGAAACAAGGCTAGACTATCCACCTGAAATGAATGCAGGAAGTCACGTGGATGTGTCTGTGAAGGTATTTGGCATTCTTCATGCCAATAGTCACCCATATATTCCGAGCTTCTACTCTATGTCAGATACTATGCAAGGCTTACGATTATAGCAATGAAATAAAAGAAACGGTCTCTGCCTTTATGGAGTTACAGTACAATTGGAGACAAATATGTAAATAATCACACAAGTGAGTCTTTAATTACAATTGTGACAAGTGCCATAAAGGGGACACGCAGGGTTCAGGGACCTGGTTCAGTCTTGGGGGCTGGCAGGGAGGGCCTGCCTCACGTACTGACATTTTAACTCAGTCCTAAAGAGGAAGGAGGCCTCTCTGGCCTGTGTGACTGCCATGGGGCTGAGGGAGGCCGGTTTCGTATGGAACAGAGAGGCTGCTCTGCTAGGGCAGAACGAAGTGGGACACGTGTGGCTCCAGAGGAGGCTGGAGAGGGAGGTGGGGCTTTGTCTGGTGGGTACAGGAGGATCGGTTGACTTTATCCTGAGAATAATGGGAAGTCCTGGGGAGTTTAAGCAGAAAGATGGTGCGATGGGACGTGCATATCAAAAAGATCACTGGTGGACAGCGGTCTGGGTGAAGGGGAAGAGAGGACACAAGGAGATGAGCTCAGAGGCCACTGGATGACGATGGTGGCTGGACGAGGTAGGAGGAGATGGCAGTGGATATGGAGAAGAGTGGGCAGATCCAAGAGGTGGTTCAGCAGTAAACTCTTCAGAATTTAGTCAGTATTAGGAAGCAGCAAGGGTAAGACAGAGAGGTAGCAAAGACGATTCCCAGGTACTTGGAGTAAGTCACTGGGGGTTGATGGTCCTTTGATGAGGTGGGACATGCTGGGGGAAGAGCCAATGTGGAGACCATTGTACTGCAGTTGTGCAGCCTGTGTGGCTTCCAAGTGGAGAAGGCAAGTTCACACCCAGGTAAAAGTGTCTATAGCTCAGGGAAGAAAGCTCTGGACGTGTGATACACACTCTGGAATTGCTGGTCATATGGGTCGCATTTGAAGCTAACAGAAAGAATTTACCATATTTAGGTACTGAACATAGCCTCCCACACAGCCCTATGCTGAGCATCTTTTGGTTGCCTCCCTAAAGGAG